ATTTACCGTCGACATTTCTTACATTTACATCAGCTTTAGCATAGGCTCCAGGGTTACGCGCCGAGTCGGTAAACAGGAGCGATGCTGAATGGTTCTTATTGATGCGTCCTTGGGAGCTCTGGAGAGTAGCTTCAGACCACTATACGCTTGAGCATCGTGTCTGTCCTTGGTAAAGTCTTCGTGGGGCTCCAGAAGCATGTCTCTTCTGTTTTACTTATCCGCTTGCTAGTGTGGCAGCAGCCTTTTCAGGCTATGAATTGCCTGTCTTGATACCTTCATATATGCTGGCACGTACATTAGTGACAATCACTGTTCTAATAACGTGAAACACGCGTTTTCTCGTGTGAAGTCAGGTTGTTTTAACTAATTCTGTTTGGCTGAACTAGAATTTCAAGTTACCAAACTTGGCATACTATTGAGGAAATACTGACCAAAAGATATACGTTTAATCATTCATCTATCGCAGACAACTGCTCACTTGCTTTGGCGGGAAGCCAGGACCGTCGGCTGGCCACAATCGCAACGCAAAACAACATGCTGTGCTGCGTGAGTTAGCTGGAAGAATATTCTTCTAGAAACGCGATGTAAACTCTTCTTTTCTTCTCTTGAATTGAGCTTGATCTTCCTGTTTTGGCGAGAATAATATGGATGATATCAAGTTACTCCCGGTCTTCTTTTGATTTCTAAAGAAGCGTGATGTCAAAATTGGTCGAAGGAAAGTCGTCCATATGCAGAGGAAAGATCTTAATTTAGTTAACATAAAAACTTTCTTCCGCACTTTGAAATCAATTTCTTGGTTACTCTCGGTCTTCTTTTAGTTTTAAGGAAGCGTGATGTCATACGGGAATAAATCCAGAGTCTTCCTCTCTGTAAAGAAAAGTAAAAAAAATAGATAGGATATCAGTTGAATTAATATTTGTTATAAACACATTGATACTTAAACTAGAAATAAGGAAGTTCGTTTCAATGAAAACAAGCTTTCAGTTTAGGTTCTCGGGATTTTCTTCACTATGGAAACCATAAAAATGGATTTTCCCCTCCAGCTGACGTCCTACCTACATTTTTTTCTTTGGCAAATCTATTGCGAATTTGCGTTGGGTTTATTCTCGTATGACAGCAGGCCATCTTAAAGGAAGGTCGCTATTGGATTGAGGTCATCCAGATTAGTCTTGCCAAAACAGGAAGATCAAGTCCTAATACACTTTCATTACACAGACATGCACATGCACAGAAATAAATGCATTTCTATCAGTCTAGACGCATATTTACCGTACAGATAGAAAAATAAATGTATATTTGATAGATTACCAAGAAAAGTATATGTCTGTTTATATGAATAAACAATTTTAACAAACCAGCCGAATATCTGGCACGACCTAAAGGTTGCTATGGTGTTTTCGTTCAGTCTTGAGTGCTACCTTAGACTTTAAAGTTTGTTCCTGAGGCAAATTCTCTGTATTTAAACGAAAGGGTAAATTTGAAAACAAATACTATTTTCAACTTAGAATGAAACAAAAATCGTGGTTTTTATTTAATCTTTATTTCTTGCCATCTTCCAAATCTAGTACTCATGGTAATGGCACCGTATCAGCGACCATATCCGCCGTGTCCAAAACCTCCGAATCCACCATGTCCGAAGCCTCCAAAGCCGCCGTGTCCGAATCCTACGAAGCCGCCGTGTCCGAATCCTCCGTGTCCGAATCCGTGTCCACCAAAACCAGGTTCGGGTAAAGGATTGGCTCCCGCAAATACCAGAAGAAGGGCAGCGCAAACTAGCACAACTACCTACGAATTTAAACGTTATTAAGCTGTAGTTTCTTTCACAATCAAGACACCATCCATACCTGCAATACCACTTTCCCTGATATTTTACAGAGAATGATTATTAGAGACTATCCGAAGCCAAAGCAAAGAATACAATTATTATTACATCCAAGTACGTTAAGCCTGAAGTACCACGCAAATTTCTCTATATGTACTCAACATGCAAAGTAAGTATTCATGAATCATGGGCAATCACTACATGATCTCATTAATATAACAAAACATGTTCAAGAATATCAGATTAACTTATTTTAAATCAAAATAAAAGCTTACTGCTTTGATCATCTTGGAGTCAGTGTGAAAAGCCGAGTGACCACCTCAACTCAGGACGGCTTTTATATCGACACTCGCCGCCAGCGCCAGTCTGCTTCGACTGCAAGGACATGGAAACGCGGTCCCGACCTTCAGGTTTTTGTCTCTGGTCGATTCGATTCGGAAATTTGTTGTGTTTAACAGTGAGTGTCCAAAAAGTTCTTGTGCTCTGTTTATTTCGTTTTGTTTTCATTTCTACTTACAGATGCATGTTTTGTCTCTTACTCTCTCTCTCTCTTTCTTTAGCTCTCTCTCTCTTTCTTTAACTCTCTCTCTCTTTCTTTAACTATCTCTCTCTCTCTCTCTTTAACTCTCTCTCTCTCTCTCTTTAAACTCTCTCTCTCTCTCTCTCTCTCTCTTTAACTCTCTCTCTGTCTCTCTCTTTAACTCTCTCTCTCTCTCTCTTTCTTTAAGTCTCTATCTCTCACTCTCTCTAACTCTAACTCTAACTCTCTCTCTCTCTCTCTCTCTCTCTCTCTCTCGCATTTTATCATGTTTAAGTAGCTATTTTTGTTTAAGTTCAAGAATAGATTATTCAAAAATTTGTGATATTCTTCACAATTTCTTTACGATCTTTAAGCATACCATATATTTCAACCATACCATTATTTCTATATTATTTATGTGTGTGCGTGTTTTTTTTTTTTTTTTTTTTTTTTTTGTGCGTAGGCTTAGAACCAGTTTGAGTATTTATATCAGTACAATAAGATGTTAACTGTTGATGTAATTACTTTGCTATTAATGCTGCGATTCCTGTAATCATAATTTGCGTCATCTATTCGTTTGCGTATTTTTCACATTTCAACTTATACTCTTCAATGTCTGGTTTGCACTACATTTGTTTTTTGTTTTTTATTATTATTACAGTGTTCAAGGACTCGGTAGCCCCGACTATTCCCAGCATATAGGTAGCTGGCGAATTACAGAACTTTTGGGTCGACGTGGACCCACCCTATACTCTATTTATATTCATATCTCTGACAATTAAATACTAGTTATTATCGAAGCAATGTCATCAGCAGCAGCTTTACTGCATATAACAGTTTTTAGTCTGGATTTATTCATGGGTATTATCAGAAGAAAAAGAGAATGCACTATATAAGTATATTGTATTTGCATTCGCACATGACGCGCTTTTAAGCTCTTAAATGTACAAAAAACCTGCTCCGTGCCCACTACACCCGTACTATAAATAGGAGACGATTGAAAAAGGTACCGCTAAGCATAAAAATAGTTATTTGTAATAAAATATGTTTAAAAAACCAAAATATTACAGTAAATTATTACTAATAAGAGGATATAAATAAATCCGCAAATTACATTGTAAAGTAGGAGACGTCTTATGTGAATGCAAATTGGTGTATGTATGCATAAACATTTCTGCAAGCACTCACAGTATTGATAGATAAATGGATATTCATATAGATTCATATACATATGTATGTATATGTATTATATACATATATATATATAATATATATATATGTATATATATTATATATGTATGTATGTATGTATATATATTATATATATATATAAATATATATATATGTATATATTTGTGTGTGTATTGTGCATATATATATATATATATATATATATATATATATATATATATATATATATATATATGTGTGTGTGTGTGTGTGTGTGTGTGTGTGTGTGTGTGTGTGTGTGTCTGTGTGTGCGTGTGTGTACATATGAATATATATGCATACACACATATATGTGTGTGTGTGTGTGTGTGCGCGTATGTATATATACACACATATACATACATATATATATATATACATATATATGCAATATATATACATATATATGTAAAATATATGTATGTATATATATATATATTCCAACATGAAAATGTTTTGCAATAAATCATACTTGTTGGTACAACATCCAGAACTGAAATTCAGCATCCTTACCCAGTTAGGGCACTGTAGATGAAAGCTAAGGAAATTTCAGGAATTTGAACAATGTCAAGTTTTCATCGACCAAAATCTCGATTGTGAAGAAAATAAAAGTCATTGTCTTTGATGTATTTATTCTTTGTCATTTTCCATGGCTCTGTCCAACCCGAAGGTTATGGCTCTGTTTCAGCGACCATAACCACCGTGTCCGAAACCTCCGAATCCACCGTGTCCGAAACCTCCAAACCCGCGGTGTCCGAATCCTCCATGTCCGAAACCTCCGTGTCCGAATCCGTGCCCACCAAATCCAGGTTCGGGTACAGGATTGGCTCCCGCGAATGCCAAAAGAAGGGCAGCGCAAACCAGCACAAATACCTATGAAAAAGCAAAGTTCATGTGTTTTAACTTATTCCTGTAATATCTGCACGCATGATATACTTGTAAATAGTATATGAGCAATCAATCGTACATCCAAATGTGAATTTAAATGTGAACTAAACCTAAACTAGATTTTCCATTGATTTTACTTTCCGTCATGATTCAGATAAAAAAAGAGAATTTATACTTATCAAGGAATTACAAAACAGCGCAATCGTATAGATAGATATAGATATATAATATATAATGTGTACTCACTGTCCTGCACATATTGCAGTCGGCGTGAGAAGGCGAGTGCCAGACGCCGACCCAGAAGGGCTTTTATATCCTGCAGTCGAGCTCTCCGGCGCAAGACACGGCGTCCCGGGCAAGGACACGGAAGCGGGACTCGACCTTCACGTTCTTTCGGTAGTTGGAAATTGATACTAATGATATAGTTAATAATGATGATAGAATCAATAAAAAGAATGATAATGATAATATAGATGATGGTATAATGGTAATGATGATAATAATAATAATAATAATAATAACAATAATGAAATGACATTTCATAGCATTTTTTCTCTGTTA